TCCAGCTTCGTGAGCGGACGTTAGATGCTATCTTCCCGGCAGCGCTAAAGAGAAATGAATGACGTGGAATTTATTGTATCACGCGAAAAGAGGAACGCGAGTGCTAGAACCGTGGGAACGTATGGAACTCACTGGACATATCGTGCGCTGAGGACTAAAACGAATTGGCGAGAGTAATGGGAGAGAGCGAAGAAAATGTAACCGGTTGAAGGATGTGGTTTTGAGTAGTTTCGTTTCATTGTGTTTGAAGTGTTTTTAAGAGTGAAGATTAGTGGAACATTTAATGCGAGAATATTTTGTGTGAAGGTTCGTTTTGGGGTAGGTGAATATTGGAATTAGTTAGATGTGCTTGGGTATTGTGAATTTGAATTAGAAGGGATTGTAATGGGAAGGATAGGGTTAGAAATGGGAGTAGTGGAAGATACTGGAACTAGATAGACATAGTGGAGTTGGCACCGTGTTTATTTGAATTTAAGGCGACTGAAACTTGATTCAATAGGTTGTACTTACAGAAATTCAATGATACATCTGTACTATACAATTCTTCGACGTCTCCTTTTGTGTTTTATTGCGAGAACGATTCAAAACTATTTATATGAGTATTTCAATCTACTTGAAAGGAAATTTATATGACAAATGAAAGTTTTACGTCGAGGGAGATTGATACATCTGTTGACCTGTGTTTATTCTGTCAGTCTCATATTCTTGCCTGATTTCTCTCGAACCAATCATTCCGGTACGGCTTCAACGAGAACCGAGAGACAGCGCAGAAGTCGCGGGCAATTGGACTGCGAAGCGCAAAACGGAAAAAGAGACGGGATACAGTTCACTCCTGAGGTGCGTAATCCTATTTCTTCGTACGATGAAACATACTACCAACGGTAGAAGAAGAAAGGAGTTTATTTTGGCTCTCGAATTTAATACGATTGATGTTTTCGCGGGCCACAATTGCCTGGTACTTTCTGTTTACCCTCGAACGAAGCCTCGCATCGAAATAGACAATCTTCGTGTCCGATTCTTCAATCTCTTTAAGAACTAAAAGGGAAAAAACCATAAATTTGTTTAGGAAGCTTAAAAGTCCAAGCTTACACTAGAAAACCTTCAACAGAAAATTTTGATTCACTATAAATCAACGCTTAGCCGTTCAATTCATTTAGCTTCAAATGTTTGTATAACAGAGCTTCGGTCAATTTTAAATATTACAAAAAACAGCTGCAGTGAAACATAGAAGGATTACGATTCTTCGATTCAGCGTATATTGCTAGAGAAAATCTAGCATGAAAGATCTTCAAAGTGACTTATTCAGAATCCCAATGAACATCAGGGAGACAAATTTTATTTATTAGAGTATTAAAACGCTTGCGCTCGCAATGCAACGCCGAGGAAACAAAGAACGTGTTCCACAGAGGACCCTCAAGCGAGTTAAGCGTCGCAGGATCTTGGGAATGGCAACATGGTTTTCCGTGATCGT